AAAAGGCGGTAATCGTTCAAGCCTCTTTGTACAATTGTAAGTCATGCACATTTATTTGTTTCGGGTTATTGTTTGTACGAGTATTTGACAATGTCTGCTATGTACTGCCTGCTTTTAAGAGTCATAAGTGGAGCCTACATTTGTGTAGGGACCCAGGGGCTACTATTGAGTAGATGCCTAGGGCCTAAAGAGGTTTTAAGACGTTCCTTGTGGTGATCTTAGCTCGAAACAAGGGTAATTTTCTACTACAGTAATATAATAACTCTCGCTTTGAAAATCGTAACACAAATGTTATTAATAAAACATTATTTATTTAAAAAAAATATTTCCAGCACACTAGAAGCAAATAAATAAATTTTCTTATCTTTAAGAATCTAATATTAGTTTCTTTTATTTAATGAAGTCATAAGAGGAAAAATAATGGAATTTTTTTTACGGCAGGTAATTTTAGCTTTCAAAAATATTGCTATTGGCCAGTTGGTAGTGTTCTCTTGTCCTCTTTGAATTTGAAAACTTTTTCATTGACTATATTGTATATGTATAGGCTAGTTTACTTACTCATTTCTGTTCTAAGACCAAAATTGCAGGTAATATACTTGACATTCTTATTTTTCTTTTCAATCGACTTGTTTGCTTTGATTCGCAGTTTCTTTTTATCGTTCTGGTTTTCGTATTTTGTTGGTATCTAAATCATATAAGCATATATCTGTACAGGGTGTCCCAATATTATTAAAACTAATTTTACGGGGGTGGGGGTAGCGTACATCAAAATGATTCAGATTTGCATCACAGCCCATGGTTGGAAACGTTACCGTTAGGTGCTGAGTGGCATTGTTCTCAAGATAATTGGAGAAAACAGATCTGAATTACTGTAGTTATTGGAGCAGTCATCACCCTCTGAGCAGTATAGAACATTTTACGAACACCGAGCTGACAGATATGCACCTGATTTACAGATTGGCTGAAGGAAATGCGAAGCAGCGGAAAGATTGTACCACGAAAGTTAGCATGTCATAGTTTAAAATTTAATGCAGTGCTTCTCAAACTTTCTACACTTGCTATTCAATTTCCAATCATAATTTTCATTACACCCCTCCCCCTCCATACAATAATAATGTATTAAATTCGATAATACGATACTCTGATACTAAAGCTACAATACGACTTTTACTTCTAAGTGCCGTCGGCGTATATAAATATCTCGCTTAGTCAGCGCGTAAATTGTCCCGGACGTATTTATACGTTTTTCCGAAGTTTCCTATCCATGCAGTAAAAAAGTAATGAATTCAATAATAATATGATTTGGCGTAAAGGTACAATATACGACTTTAATTATAAACCGTACAAATTATCAGGATAAGTATTAAATTTTGTATCTATTTTTATGAGATGTCCATAGGGTCTCATTGGGAATTAGTAAACTTGTTCTTAACTTAAAACTGTTAAATTAATTACGAAACATTGTGCAGTACTGATACATTTATAAGTGTATTATATCAGTGCAAATGTGTATTTTACTTTTTTTTATTATGTCAGAATGTATTTTGTTTTGCTTCTTTTCAGTAAATTAATAACTTTTTTTAATTAACCTTTTGTTTTCGACTTTTCGATATACTCGCGCCCCCCTTATACGGTTACCACGTCCCCCTTGGGAGGCGCATCCCACAGTTTGAGAAATACTGAGTTAATGTGTTTTTGAATCAATTATAACTTCTATCAAGGGCATGAAATAATATGCGGGCCAAATCAAACTCAGCAAAATAGAGAACAAACGTAAGTGACAAGTCTTCCATATAGCTTACTTTTGGTGGACACGGTGGCCGCTTAAGGAAATAAGATTTCTAACGTCATAAAAAAATGAAACATTCCATCTCAGAGTTGGGAACATAATGAAACTAATGATTTCTGCGACAGGTTTAGCTGTCCTTTTTTCGTTCGAGGGAATGTGATTGGATTTGGAATCCGGGGGCGAGTTCTTATTTCTCTCCTGTGTCTCATAATGAGGGAGGAGTCATCAGACGAGGCTTTTAGGATCTGTTGGGAGGAAGATGGCATCAGAGCACAAATAGCTGATAGAGGAGCGAATAGAAACGCGATAATGGACCCCACCGTAAATCAAACTGATCGAGAGCTCATAAACCGACTTCTTATCTGCCCTAAACGTAAGACTGTGAGAATTCATTCAAAAAGGAAACTCCTTTTCTTTTACCCTGTTGTTCGTTTGTATAACTTACAAAGGCTTCATTTTATTGCTCCTGATTTTTGGTCAGATGTACATTATTTCATTTGTTTTTCCTTAGATATAGCATATCTTATTTTAATTATTTCCCTTGTTTGCTATGCTGTCATCAAATTGGAGCTATTCAAAAGATTATAGATCTTATCTTATTTTTATCATTGACGTTAGGGTACTTTTCCGTTAGCAGGACGCAAGCGAAAAATCGCCAAATAATGTAGAATTTCGCCAAATCTCTTACAACCGTGAGGGGAATGTTCGTTTAGGGCCATGTGCTCTATTCTTTGAATTCATTCAAAACAAAGCACGCTTTCCTTTCTTCCACCTTAATTTTTGTTTTAAAAAAATGATGAAATTTCCTCCATAATTTATGTGGATACGAAGAGTAAGCGATCCATTGGAGCAAATCCTCAAGGATATCACCGTATTCTGGAAAAACCAATAATTATAAGCATTCTTTTTGGGCAAAACTGTTTTGCTTACTATTTATTAATATTTGCTTATAGTTGAACGTTTTCGACTTTTATTCCGTTGACAGTTTCGTCATTTGCTTCGCTTAGGGACTTGGATCGTGTTTCAATTGACGACATTTGTGCTCGGCTAATGGATTGATTGAATATTAACGTCGCACTGTTCAGCTACTCGGGGGCTTTTGGCGACCGACCACGTAATTTTGAACCATGGTCAAGTGACGTTCACGACACCTGAGCTGGCACCCCCCTCTCCTAACTACCACACCACACCAACGGGAGGACGTTTCAGCTCTCGACAGATTTAACGTGCATCGCTGCCCTACACGGCGGGTTTTTAGTGGTATTGGGCTCGAACTCGTGACAAGGCAAGCCACTGTCCGATACCTATACCACTCGGCTACAGCGGCCACAATATATTGGCCGGAAACCGATGAATACGACAATGACTGAGATACGGATTTATCTATTTGTAATGAAAAAGAGGAAGAAAATTAACACGATTAACAATACACTTACGTAACGCATGCAGAAAAGTTTTCTTTTCCGAGGAACATTTCGAGAAATTTCACAAAGGCTTGTAGTTTTAATTCTAATTTTCCTATTTTTTTCAAATTTTTGTAACCCAGATATTTTGTGTCTTAACTTTTGTATATAATTTTATATACAATCCCAATAAGAGAAGATTTACCTTATAATGTTCCTGCGCTGGCTATATAAGACATGTATTCCCAAGAGGCTACAATGTAATTTTACCCTATGTATACCATGTATCCACTATTCGCAATGGGTTAATGTGACTATATTTGTAAGCAATATTCCATCAAGGGACTCTAGCGTTCATTCAATATATAAAAATTCAACATTCCGTTTTGCGTATGCCATATACTTTGTATCATAAAATAATAGTTCTAAAAATAATAATAATAAAAAAGTCTGGGTGAATAATCGAACTTAGCTTGTTTTTCATATTACTTTAGATTCGAAAACAATCCATTAGGACGGATTTTGTTTTCTTCAAAAGATAAAATGTATTTTATTTCCGATTTATTTCTGTAAGCAATCCCTCTCTTCGTCTATGATTTGCTGGATATACAATTTCTTCTTCGACATCCGTTGCGCTTTGAAAAACAGGAACACTTCACGTTCCATAATGCCGTAAATTCATAAAGGATACGTAGTAGTATCGTCTTTACAATTTTCGGCCTAGTAACTGTATTAAATGTATCTCGCACACTTATGAGTTTCTGACAATCGTTATATATGGAGCCCTTTTGTTTTACAAAAGAACATGAAATATCGTCTAAGGGACTGCACTCATCTCAAATCTTCTCGCTATTTAGCGAGGAATTTCCTCCAAGATTCATGCTTTTACATTCTTCCGTAATAAAATATGTAAATCACCCGTCTTCCATTTAATGGCCCCTCAGGGACAAAAAACGAGACAAAATGAGGTTAACTTTGTCCTGTCTCCTCGTGCCAATGCTAAGGATCCCTCGCGGAATATCAACTGAGCTTTTTGCGCTTTCCGTTGCGAAAAGTGAAACGTCTCGTCTCAAATGACTTCCGTTAAATTAGCTCTCGCGTGTCGTCCTGATGCTTGGCAGATAAAATACCTCCGAGCCATTTTGAGACAGCGACTAGAAAACTGTTTTCGGAGTCTGTTATTTAATTTATTGAAAATAATACGCGCTGCTTAAAGCAAATGTGTTTGGAAATAGAACGTAGTTGGGGAGGGAAATATTGGGGACAAATAAAAAAAGCAGAGAAGCTTTTATGTGTTTTACAACAGTAACAATATCGTTTCTTTGTATCAGTTGAGAGTAAGTGCAGCTGACATGAATAAAGAGTAAAAAGGAAAAATAATTTAGAATTGTAAATAGAATAAAAATAACCAAGAGCTTCTAAATATTTCTTTTTTTAAAGGAAATTTCAAATGAGAAGTATTGTCTTTTTTTTATGACCAGTAACTGATGTAAGAAAAAAGGAATTCTCATTTTATTTTAGGTATTGTAAGGGACACATCGTATAGACTCTTTCCATACATAAGTGTTTCAGCACCGATTATCATTAAACAATAAGGCAATATTTCTATAACTATTTAGGCAAATGGAAAATTCAACAAATAAGTAAAGTATCGGCTATTATTAAATACATATATTTATGTATATATATATACATATATATATATGTCCTCCTAATTTTATAAACCACGTAAAAAGGTAAATTTTTAAAAAAATATATCTGCTTATGTAATCAAAATACTTATTAGCCTTGTTAATAGAGCACGTGCCGCCCAGTCAGTATAGTGGACAGGACTCTCGGCTTGTAACCGAGTGGGCTCGGGTTCGAATCCCGAATAAGGCATGGATGTATTTTCTTCTGGAAAAGAAGTTGGACTTTCGCCTGTAATGGATTCCCGTCTCGAAAGGAAAGCAGCGCACCCCTTCTGTTATTGTTGGGACCTCCTGTTTGTATTGTATGTTTCTATTCTCCCACTTGTATTTCATATGTATCCCAGGATGAAAAAAACGCACAATAACAATAGAGCACAATCGATGAACAACTTTAGTTGTGGATCAAAAAACTTTTTTCAAAAATAAATAGAGAAATAAAAAATAGTTCTATTGAATTCTGAGACCAGCGCGAAAAACTTAAATCAGCTACAGAACATTTATGTCATCATGTGAAAGAAGGGAGGATCAATTTGAAACGAGCTCTTGTTTGCATTTGTGTGTTGAGAGGATAAATCACAAGATACAAAGTAATATACAAAGCTGATATATATCTTAATATATTAATATCGAAATGGAAACAACTGCTGAGAGAGCGAAATAACCCTCCAATTGTAATAAATAGTAATGTTCTAATCAATAGCAATAGATTCACTTATTTTTTAAAGCTACTGTTTAGAATTGCATAAAAAAGGAGGTTCTAACTCTAAAATGAAACCAAACAGCCTTCACTCAAAATGTCACGAGCATTAGTCTAACTCACCCATTCTAACAAGGCACTCTTTACACTTACCACCATTAAAATCTCAACATCCTCTGCTATTCAAATTAAGATACCTTTAAACAGCACACTTATTTTCCTTTTATCACGGCTCCTTCACAATACGAGGCTCTCAAATCGAACTACCCAAAAAATAGGTTTCCCTAGAGGTTAGTTGAAAACACGTTGAGAACTCGAAGAAATTCACTGGGTCATTTTTTTTTTTTTGTTTGGTTAATAACATTTCCATTCTTATCGATTAACCAGATTTTAAAAAAAGAAGGAAAAATCCCTGATTCAGTATAATTTAGTATCGGCAAATCACGTTGTCTGATGAACGGTGTCAATAAAAATATTTCAAGCGTAAAGGATTGATAGTAGGTATTAGATTTTAAAGTGTATTTGATAATCGTTAAATAATCTTTCATTCGCAAATCAATAACAAAATCGTTTTCATTTAATTTTATTTTTTAAATAATGAAAGCAAATAGGGATAGCGAGGGATGTGAATTATTAATAATGTTTGTTTATTTTTATTTTATTTATTTTATTTCCTCTATCTGTTTCATACCTTAATTTTTTGTTATTCTTTTCATTTAAGTGAGAAATGTTCAAAAAGGTATCATTTGCATAATTAAGCAATATTTACGAATGTATTTAATTTTCCTTTTCTTATGTAAATAAATCTTCCTATACGGCTCATCGAACTTAGTTGCTTTATTTGCTTAAAGTAAACTGGAGAAACAAATTATTTCGTTCGTAAAAAATCATCCAAACAATACCAAAATAATTTAATAAGTAAATATATCACAGTATGTTTATAATCAAACAAACTTTTCTTTTTTTCCCCTCGTTTGAGAGAAGACTTCTAAATCGGTTAAAAGTCGATTTTACTTGTTGAAGTACATTATTACATAAAAAAAGTTGTATAATTACTCGACATTATAGCATTATTGTTTCAAACTGTATTTATAGAAAAGTACTTCAGAAATTAATCAAAAATCCTTCTGTGGAAACTCTTATATTTTTCTCTAAGTATGCTATACGAGAAATAATGAATAGATCAAAAGCTTCAGCTAAATCTGAATATTTTAACACAATACACAAAAAATAATTTTAAATTGAGTAGCAAGAAAATAATATACAAGCTCTACAACAGAGGTTCCCAAACTTTTTTGTCTCATAGACCCCTCTAGTCATGTTTTTTGGCTTAGGGTAGACCCCTACATAATTACAGTAAAATTCGGCGTATAATGCGCATCCATACTTTCAAACTACATTTGAGGTATATTCGTCGTATAACGCGCAATCCCTTTTCCAAGAAGAAACTTAAAATGTACGTGTGCAATGTTCTTATGTTTGGAATTTATTTATTCGATGTATTATTCCAAACTTTAGAAAAAAACTAGTAAATTTCTAGAACAACTCCTTAAGTTCGTAAGGAAACTCATTTCTTTTAAATAAGCAGTATTTCGATATACATAGAAGTCTAATTTTTTATATGCTCATCTTTATTTTTTATTTTTAAAGCTTTCATTTTCATACCCGGTGTATAATGCGCACCCGTAAATTTCGATTTTATTTTTGGTGTTAACACAATGCGCGTATACGCCGAATTTTATGGTAATTCTAGAAATAAATTCTGAAATGGTTCTTGTTTTAAAATGTATGCTGTCCCCTTGTAATTGCAAATTAACCTCATTAAATTGAGTTAATAAATCTGTTAAATAGGTAAAATCTGGTTTCTATTTGACTAAATCGTCTTTTAAAATCAGTCACGATCTGGTTTAATGACAGCCACTATCATAGACCCCCATTTACACCTCATGAACCCCCAAATTATCTTTTCGTTGACGTGGACCCCTGGGGGTTGATATAGACCACTTTGGGAATCACTGCTCTACAAGATGATTCAGGAAAGAAGAGAAAGACCTAATGAGGTGCGGGTACATATGAAATAAAAAATTTTCGTCTACGAATACATGATCAGAATTGAAAAATTCAAATGTATTAAAGAGTGCAACATGCTAAATTAAAAGTACGGGAAGAAAACAAATAATAGCGTTGAAACGCAAGATCTCGTACAATAATGAAGAAAAGCAGCAGTGAAGTAGGTATTGCTGAATGCCAAAGAATATTCCACGAAGATACCGAGAACCGCAACAACAGACGAAAGTTTTGCGATTAGTTCCTCTTCGCAGTCACGAAGTGTCTCATACATCAGCCTCTTCAGTTGCCAGTACAAAAAGAATTCAAGAGACAACATAGGGGATGATCGAAGAAGCCAAGTTACAGGATTACTCACTTTATCAAATGATTCAGAAAAGTGACGTCCAGATGATGCCGTACCTCACGCCCAAAAAGCAGAACATCCCTGAAGGGTATTTGAAACATACTCCGCCACGTGCGGCAGTACATCTTGCTATAACGTTTGGTAGTTTTCCTCGGGAAAGCGTTTGCATAGATGATACTTGCAATTATGAGGTTGTTGTGAGGATCCACGTCCAAATATTTAAGAAGTGTCCCTGAAGTGCATATGGATATACCTAATTTCAATTTGAAAACAACCAAGCATGTTTAATGTGGGTGTTAAATGTACCATCTCATGTGAAAGGGTATCCTTTGGAGAAAAGAACAGTTGTAAAATCTGGGTATGTCGTACTCTACTGTAGAATCTACCATAGGAAGTGTACACGACGAGACTAATCTACTTCACTCAATGTATAGAATAATTGAAAATGGTACTGAGGCAACCTCTCATTTCTAAGCAACCGTTATTCCATAAATTATAGTACACCAAAGCTACGGACCACATCTCAAGTGCTTATAGTTAATTAACATGCCTCAGTTTCAAAATTTTTTTCCTCCGCCCCTGCTGTTCTGACAGTCTTTGTACAAATTGAATCAAGCAAGAAAGTATTCAGTTTCGCACACCAGTAGATGCATACGCGCAGTTGTTTTCAAATTAGGCATCCGCCTATGAAAAAATGCCCCCGTGTACTGTGGTACTTCAGTCTGCAGTTCTATAAATGCCTGCTTTATTAGTATTACTATAGTGCGCCATTTGCATTCCATAATTTACAACTATTAGAACGATTCTACAAAGGAATAACTTCACTGTACTGGTGTACAGCCTTTTATTCACTGTGGTATCGATTTATTTGCTGTTTCTTGTTTTTCCTCAGGTTATATCTGCATGCATTATATTATTTATATACGGATAAATCACAGCAGAAATGTATCTTAAACGTTTGCGAGGAGGCCATTTCGAGGTGCGCTAGAGCGTTTCCTTTTAAGCTATTCAGTATTTTTTGAAAATTATTTGTATTGGTGCATACTATCAACTGTTAAAATTATTTCCCATTATTTCTAAATTCCCCTGTATAATTTCTGTGAAATGAATCGCTTTCGGAACTAAGGTACTTCTTAACTTCAGTTTCCAATGGGCTTGATTCATGAAGTCACGTGATAAAAATAAACACGTGTTTTCCATTGAATTCCAAACAAACATTAAACTAATTGTACTTGTTCTATTTGTAAAACTCAGATAAAATTTCAAATTTCATATTTGGTTAAAAATGTTTAAATGTTAGGGAAAAAAATTTCTTCAAAAAGATTTTTTTAAATTAAAAAAAAGTCGTATTTTATGCTTATACTTTTAAATAAAATGCATTTTGTATACATATGTACTTTTTAAGAGAAAGTTTCTGCAAAGAGCAAAACTTGGCAACACCGGAGCGCGTGAACTGATTAGTTGGAAACACAAGATAGTTTTTATCGTGTGACTATGACGTCACATGAGTTTTTGAATTGATTGGCTAGAATCACGTGGTTTTCCCTATCATGTGACTATGACGTCACATGAATCAACCTCATTGATAAATAATTGAGTTTGAAAGCAATAAGGAAATAACACGAGTGGAATACCTTCCAGTACGACTTCCTTCTCATTTGACCGTAGTTCACAGTTACGAAGTTTTTTGCCAGTGTACATCCTGCAGTTTATAAGTTTAATTCAAACCAAATTAACTCTTCTAATACAATACATTGAAAAATTAACAACGCTTACATTTATTAATTCATTTGATGCTTCCGATTGTCTGTTTCTGCTGGACATAAAGTCCGTTTAGCAATGGGCCCAGTCTTTTTGAGGCAAGGTCAGATAAAAAAAGAAATATTAAAGGCGGGATATCGTTATTCACGTCACGACGACACGTCTAAGTGAGGATATTGAGCCATTATCGGTGTAATATGCGTCAATCCTTCTACATGGTGGGTCTTTAAGTGATTCAGCCAAGCTGTGTTGAGATGCCAATCTATAACGTAGCTTGACTGAGCTGTTGGGGCTGCTTGACTAAATTATACTACAGAAG